TCTTGTACTCATCGTTTATTGCAAATTTGTTACATCAGTGAAAGTAAGTAGTGGAGAGAGGAGGAGTCAACGAGTCTGAAACAGCAGAGAAAGCATGTGAGGGTCCAAACACTTCACGCAATTTTGGAATGCCAAGCTCTAACCTAAAGTCATATTTGACTGTTCATTTGTAAAAAAACTCTTCTGAAATTTGCCTAAATGTGCAACCAGATTCTGTTTCAGGATGCTGCCTGAGGCTTGAACAAAAGTGAAGCATCACATATTCAAGATTATGAAAAGTATGAATAACTATGGCAAAAATAGATCTTTTGGGGTGAAAGGGTTAAATCAGCAACATCTGCACCGGGAGACACTTCTAAAAAAACAAAAAACCAGGATCCAAGTAGTATGAATTTGGTTTCAAAAAGAAAAAAAGCACAAAACTTAAAACCCACAGCCCTCTAAAACATTTCCCCCACCTGAAATACTTGAGAAGACAGAGGAGTAGTAATTGCCTGTAAGGTGTAATACACCATGTGCTCATGCACAGGGAACATTGCAAAGAACCAGGGTCCTTGCCATTTTCAGTGGAGAAACTGTGGCTGCAAGAGTTCGCTAATTTCTGGTGGTCTTGCTATTTTACTTTCAAGGAAAGGCAACCAAAATAACAGCACTGAAAAATACCAAATGGATAACCCAAATTTTGTATATTTCACAGGGAAAAACCCTTTTGCATACCAAGCCATCTTTGCATCTTTCATGAAGCGTCTTTCTCAATCCAGATATGATAACTTCCATCTCAAAGCAAGAGTGATTCTGTTGAAAGGGAAAAGATAGAAACTAATAAATAATAGTTCTGCTGAGGGAAAAAACCTTTGGAGCCCAAAAGACCAGGTTTGAAGGAGACACTAGGTAGTTATCAGCCAGGGTGACAAAGGGAAAACAAATCACGTATCCAGACAACTTGTTGATGGATATGCTTGCCAAAGATAATTTAGTGCTGAACACAGAGCTGAAAGCAACCAAGTAAAAATCAATAGGCATCCAAGTGGTGCTGTGTAGATCAGTTTTACAGAGGAGAGCAGACATCAAAGTACGCAGTGAGAGTGAGCTGTGGCCTTTTCAGTGCTCAGAACTGAATTAAGTCGAATGCACATGGCTTCTTCATACAATGCTAACAGGATAGAAGGAAGACTTAAGCCCATCAGCAAGAACAGAGCAACGGATAAACCTCTTTGACTAAGACTTAGTTTATTTAGTCAGATGGGGAAAAAAAAAAGCAATCCACCAAAGCCCCCCTGAAACCATCACTATCCCATCTGTCTGTGTTATTAACAAAGACTTGTCCAAAGGCTGAGTGGTGTTAACAAGGCATCTCTGCTCATTTGAACTATACGAAGGTGCAGAAAGTCATAAAGTTAAAACATTGTTAAGCATTTACCCAGACAATAACAACAAAAGGTACTGAGAAATCCAAGAAGATCCACTACCAGCAAATATTTCAAGGACACAACTGCAGGACATGAAATCCAAATTAGAGACAGGTTTTTCTCTTGTCCCATCAGCAAGTCAAACCTCATGAAATTCTTTCTTTAAAGATAGTGTGTGTGTGTGTGTGTGTGTGTGTGTGTGTGTGTGTAAATCACAACAGTAAAGTACATCTTAATTCCACTGTGATCCTCTCTTTCTTCTAGTCAGACACCACCACAAGAGCACAGGACTTCTCAGAGAAGGAAGATACATGTTATGCTGCAAGCTCAAACAATGGGCACAACCCAGCAGAATTATAGATCTTGGCTAATGCATGAGAAAGCCAGAAAACAGCCACAAAGCATCACTCACTGACAGAAATATAATAGCGTGCTCCCCTGGGACTGATGCATGCAGGGCACTGATTGGCCCACATGTCTTCTGGGGATGCAATGCTGTTAGTGTTTTTTTCAGACAAAGGAAAACTAGGAGCCCTAGAACTCATGCAAAGAAAATGTCATTATCAATATAACTTCTCAGTGTTTGGACAACCCTGGGAGCTTTCATCAAGCTTCTTTCAGAAATTACAAGAATTCACATGCCATCTGTTTGTCCCTAAAAGTGCAACAACTGATGCCATTATCAATCCTTCTCTGCCAAAAGGGATGAAATCGACTCCAGCCAGCTTCCCCCATGCAAAGATTGCTTATTCCAGCATGAACTGCATGCAAACCATTAAGCAGGCATTTGGAGATGATTCCTGCAATGTGAACCCACTCTGCTGGATCCAGCAAGTTATGGCTGGACAACTGATGCCAAAGGGAATTTGGACATTCAGTGGATGCCTGAATCATCATCACCAAAAACTGTCTTGAAGCTTATGAATTACAGATGTGTCGTGTCCATTCCTGCCAAACTGATGAATGCTTATGCATTAGTAATGGATTCAAATGCGCAGAGATATGCAAGTTCCAAACTGTACCAAGTAAAAAAAGACTGAAAGGAGCAGTTTGCAAGATCACTTCAGTGAAGATTTGGCAGAGAAAGATTAAAAAGAGAATAATCATGTTATACAAGACCTGTGAAGCAAATATATGACATGATCCCACAGGGGGAAAATAAAATGTTGTTTATTATGGTATATTTAAAATTATCAGTTCCCTACTTTTGTTCAGAGTCTCTTTCTCATCCAAGAACTATGTACTCTGATAAAGGGAAGGTTGTCAACAAAAACATGCTTAGCAGCTCTGAACTACCCCACTGAGGAAGCTTGCACATCTAAACAAAATCTAGAGGTAGCAATACCTGCATGGAGCTTCAGAGGAATTTTGACCACAGGAACCATGAGCAAAAGGAATGCCTGACCTTGGCTCACCAGCTGTTGGCTGGACAAGACACTTGTGCCTTGTAAAATCTCCTCGATTCTCTTCCTTTGAAAGATGATCCTTTCAAAGCTGCTAAGAATGGGAAATTGTCCTTGTTTAATGGAAATTAAATAAACTTCAGTGGAGACAATAAGATAGTGCTAACACAGGGAAAAGGTGGCCCTGCTCCCTCTGTTTCCTGGCTGTCACTGTCCATCGTGGTGGTACCTTGTCCTGCCTACTGAAACATGGGCTTGTATTCATGCAATGAATTAGACTGGAGAAAGCAGATTCAGGTACACCCTTGTCCTCTCCCAGCTCCAGCTGAATCTGCTCCAGTTTGCCATTAAGCTAGTAAAAGTACTGTGAAAGGAAGAGAATAGCACAGGATGAGCACAAGTAGTCAGAAGCAGAGGAAGTGTGGATCTACTGCTTTTATCAATACTGACAACATATGCCAGCTTAAATTATTTGTCTGACTACAATCCTGAGATCTTCCAAATAGCTTCTCATTCCAGCTTATATATTACCACTCCATAATCCTGTCATCACTGCCTGAAGCTGGTCAAAACACTGCAAGGGAAGAGCTTTTTGGAAAAGAGTTTCTTTTAAAAAAACTAAGCTCAGGGCTTTCTTCTTGTGTGAAAAGGAGTGAATATCTGAAGACTACTCCTGCACATTTGGATCACCCCAAACCCCACTTTGTCTCATTGCCCTTGACAATCACTACTGCCTGATTACTGAGCACTGCAAGTTTAAAGCAGAGAACATCCTACTGCGATGATGATTGAAGAGACTAGGGAAGAAAACCAAAAACCAAAAGCCAAAGCTGCATAAATTGCTCACACTCATTCAGAGACCAGCCTAACTTAGCCTGAGCACTTCTCTCCCAAGTTACAGAAACAAACCCATCCCATTTCCCTCTTCTCTTGCATGCCACACACAGCTTCTTGTCGAGCTCTGATAGTGTGCAAACCCCATGAAGGTCTCTCATCTTCAGTGGGAAAAACAAGCATTATTCACACGGTTTTGGATCACTCATTTCACTAACAGTGTCAAGAACAAATGCCAGCTTGAAATTTTTATGTCAGGATTTTAAAGTAAATATCTTTCTGTCCATTAGATCCCCCATCTCCAGGATGCTTTGATTTTTACATTGCTACAAGAAGAAAATCCTTATACTTCTAATTTTATTAATTTTGTCACAATTTCTTAGCTTCAATTCACTTGGTATTAACGTAAATTGGCTTTTGTAATAAAATTATTTTAAACACATTTTAATAAATATTTCATTTTAAAAACTTACCATAATCTGCCATATTTTATCACGAATTAATATGCTTTTTAATATTGCTTTTTTGAGTGCTTTAATATAAGGCACATAAAGGAACTGACATGATGGAAATAAGAATTTCAGCCTTAATAAAAATATTCAATCAATCTGGAAGAGTAAGAAGTATTTTCTTTGAACTAGATAAACACTTTTTTCCTACACTTTCTCCTTCTTCACCAATTGTGAGAAAAAGCATCCCTGACATCCATGCCCCACGTCTCCCACCCTGGCAGACCCTGGCTGTGCTGGCTGACTCAGTGGTACAGGGGTGGCTTCTGCCCATCCTTTGGACAAAGCACAGCTCCCAGTGCTCTCCCTGAGTTCACTGCTAACAACTTCATGGGTGCTGCTTTTTGGTGAAATTCATCGTTAGGCCAAGCTTCTGCATCCAGCACCTGCACTCCTCTCGATGTCTGCATACTCATTTGCTTCACTTGTAAAAATAGTGCCAGAAAGAGCTAGGAGTTGCTCCTGGAGGCAGGGATGGCGCAGCCGGGAGGGCGGCAGGTAAGGCAGCTCCCTCCTTGTCCCCAGCACATCGTCCCCTGGACGGGAGCGCCCACGAGAGGGTTTATGGAGTGCCATATGTCTAATTGGCTGAAAGGTAATATTCAAAGGCCCGCCGCTGCTCCCCGAGCTCAGGGACTGCAGCTGGCAGAGTGTTAAATCAGCGAACAGTTGGGCCCTTTGCTGCGCTGCACCACTGCTGCTGCTGCTGCTGCTCCCGGGGCCGCTGCCCAGTTTGGCTCATTGAGCTCCCCAGTCAATGGAGAAGGCATCTCTATTGTGCACCTCAAAGCATGCTCACAGCCCCTGAAAGAGAAACAGGCCCCAAACTACTGGGGCAGATCGTATGACAGGATTACTTGCTTGTTGTTCCTCTTTCTTTCTTTTTTTCTTCTTTAAAGGACTTCTATTGGACTACAGGAAGGAATTACGTGAGGGGGAGACCGTATTACATAGTGACAGCTGGAAAACTGGGGATTGCAGGCTAGTAACGGAGCTGGGTTCCTTCTGTGCCGGCTGGACACCTACCTAAGGCATCTTTTAATTAATTTGTGTAGGGAGTGATCTCCAGAGCCCAGGCAGCGCAGAGCAAATCGTCACACGACTGGAATCGGTGGCACTGGGGTGAGGACGGGATTTTTTCCCAAAAGCACACAAAACAGCTCCTCACTGCCAACCTTAGAGCACAGAAGTGCAAGCATTTATTGTTCTTACAGGATCCACACATCCAGATTTAGGAAATGTGTTAAAGCTGTGATTAAGCAGAGCTCTGAGTGTCTGACACTCCAGTCACAGCAGAGATCTTGGGTGGCAAAAATCAGCATTTTTCTAATGGTGTCAATAAACATTGCCTGGCTGATGAACTTCCCTAGAAGTGCTTCTGTAACTGGCTCTGACACACCTGCCTAAGCAACATCAGACAGGTCATTTGTGAGCACCCCTCTGCTTTCTGCAGGCTGAGCCCGTGTGTGCACCTCAGACCCCTGCACATGTGCTTCCAGTCAGATGTCAACAATTTACCTTCCAGTGCTGTAAACAGGCACAGCACCAGGGATTTCTGGCATTGCTCAAGAGGAGGACAGTAATCATTCCACAGCTGCCCATGATGGCAGCAAGAGAATTGCACTCTGGAGTTTCAACATCACCCTTGGCCCCTGCACTTCCCCAGAAATTCACAAACATTACCCTTTTCTGGTAAATTACATGTATATGCCTCACCTCACCCTGCTGGTAGCATCTCAAGGCTTCAAAGCTCTTTAATCGACCATTCTCACTGCTCAAATAGCACTCAGTTAAGACACAGCGTAATCTGTCTTCTCAGCACATGTAGAAAGTAGTGCCACTGCTTAATCTAGGCCTAAAAACTGCACAAAATGTGCAGCCCTGCCCTGGGTAAAAACAGCACTTTCAGCTGGGAACTACAAATCCTGTTGAGGGCTGGACTTTCAATGGCTTATGGTATCAGTTTTCCTTCACATTTTTGGACTGAGGGAAAATCAAGATGTCAAATCTTGAAGCAAAGTGTTAAATTCTGCTTTGTTTTGACTCAAAATGCAGAGTTGTCTTGGTCTGTTACCAAAACTCCCAAGCTCTA